CGTTTATCGACGTCGCCGCCTTGATAATAATAGTATACCTGCTCTTCGTTCCCTGCCGTTCTCACAGTTACTGTTCCCAAGCCTCGGGGCTACGACTGGAGACAGCCACGTCCATAACCGTTCTTTAACATGAATGTCGTCGCACGATCTCTCCAAAAGATTGCTTTCCCTCAGGTTCTTCGGTTAAAATGTTAGATCCCAGGCCAAGTATAACGGCGCTTTTCAGGGTGTTTCTATAATCGGGCCTCTGCCGGCGCCTCCAACGTCGCTCCATCTGGCAGGTAATCTCTTTCTGCAGATGTGATAGTGGCTGTGGGTGGTGGTTTGTAGAGTGAGCGGTGATGCCTCACAGCCTTGTGGAGAAGACCTCTCCAGCGGCCAGGCTAACGGCTGTACGTCCGTGCACGACAAACTCGCGGAATGGCTCTCTGGGGGAGAGGTGTGTGGGACGGGTGACAGTATGCTGGACAGGTGTGGGGTGTGGGACGGGTGAGTGGGCTGGCTAAGTGTAGGCTGGTGTAGGCTATAGGCTGGTGTGCCTGGGTCAGGTGTGGGCTGTGGTGGAATAGGTGATTGACCTTCTCCAAGATGTCCTCAAAACAGCAGCATGACCTTAGGTACGGTTGTATGGCCAGTAAGGTACCGGGGTGCAGCACCTGGCGACATTGGTGTTCCTCTTCTACTTCACGGCGTGCCTTAATCTCGTCAGATTTGTATTTAATATAATTATAGTTGTAATGGCGTGTGTACAGGCACATAGTCCCGTGCAGTGGTTGCCGGTGGCAGAGTGCGGAACTGTGGGAGACAGGCGTCCCTCTCCGTTACAATAATTGTAGGGGTGTTGGGTGGCGTCAGGCCCCAGTGTGGCGTGGGGCGTCGGGCCCCAGTGTGGCGTGTGGCGTCGGGCCCCAGTGCGGAGTGGGGCGTCGGGCCCCAGTGCGGAGTGGGGCGTCGGGCCCCAGTGCGGAGTGGGGCGTCGGGCCCCAGTGCGGAGTGGGGCGTCGGGCCCCAGTGCGGGGTGGGGCGTCGGGCCCCAGTGCGGAGTGGGGCGTCGGGCCCCAGTGCGGAGTGGGGCGTCGGGCCCCAGTGCGGGGTGGGGCGTCGGGCCCCAGTGCGGAGTGGGGCGTCGGGCCCCAAAGCGCAGTGTATATATACTATGAGGACCATAGTATATATATACTCACCTACATCGAAAATAGAAAGTAGAAATCTGAACTATTGAGTTGGACAAACCGGAAAACTTTTTTTTTTATACTTGTGTTGCTTTGACAAACTAAACTAGCGTACCCTTCCTAGGCCTAATACACAATATCTGAGGCTTCGTACACGACATCTAAGGTCTAATGTAGTACATATGAGTGCTATTCTAGGCCTAGGAGTATTTGTTTTTTTAGCTTCATTTATATTCAAAGAATTCCTTACTAGTCAATATACTACTGTCCAAAAGCTAAGTACGTACAAATTCGTGACTATTGATGACTGTGACAATAGATACTATGTAAACAGGAGGAGGAGGTGGGGGGGGGGGGGTCTCACTTCACACCCCCACACACACACACACACACACACACACACACACACACACACACACACACACACACACACACACACACACACACACACACACACACACATATATATATTCACGACTGACTGGGAGTGCTGTGTGTCTCGGAGCAGCACATCCTGCACAAACCTTGGACATGTTAATGAATGAGTGCTGAATCTCTTCACTGGGAAATATCAAACTCTTGTGTCATCTGGGTAGTCCGGCCCTCAGTTGTCAAGGGCTCCATCAGGCCCGTTCCTCCCGCGGGCTCAGTATGGGACGCATAATATATAAATTAATGTACTGGTCCTTGGGGGAAGTGTTGGAATGTTATCGTACGGGACTCACATCCAATGGTGCCGCCCAGTTGGAATTATTATGATATTGTGGAAGGGGGAGCTAGGGTCGGCCGAGTCGTCCTTGGGACCACACGCCCACACCTCAGGTTGGGTCGTCCTCGAAACCACACGCCCACACCTCAGGTTGGGTCGTCCTCGAGAGCACACGCCCACACCTCAGGTTGGGTCGTCCTCGAGAGCACACGCCCACACCTCAGGTTGGGTCGTCCTTGAGACCACACGCCCACACCTCAGGTTGGGTCGTCCTTGAGAGCACACGCCCACACCTCATAATGTGGGCGTGTGCTCCCACTATTTGCTCAGTATGGATGTAAATACCGGTAGACACCGGTATCTTGACTCCCGGTATTCAAATTTTCTGTGTTTAAAGCTGTAGTGGCTTCCATTACCGGTCCATTCCACTTGCCTCCTCCATTACCGCATAATGACACCTAGTGTAAACTATGTGGTATGTTAGGGTCTCATTCCCTCGCCCATTATGTTCTTGATTGTCCGTTGATTAATGTATATAGAAACACTGAGATAATGATTGTGCCTGAACAAATAGCCTGGGCGTGTCACAACAATTGATAATATTCTGGAGACATAAAAGACTTTTGCACCAAGATTGTAACGTTTTTTGTTGACATTGAGAAACTGAGATTCTAAAAGTTTTTTTGTTGACTTGTCTGAATGTCTATTGCAAATTGTGTGTGCCTAGTCATGAAAGTATTTGTGTGTACATCTGGTAACATACTGCATGTGTATAGGAAGAATTGTATGTGTTTATCACTCAGAATCTTGGGTAATATGCTTATTATTTGTGATATATGTGTATATATATGTATCTATATGAACACGTTGTACTGAATGGGGTGAGAATAGCTTGAGCTACCTCATCCCTTTGTGTGTGTGTTTATACCTCATTAAACTTATTTGAATTACCGCAGTTGACCACTTGATCACGTTTCTGGCGCATTTGTTTGTGATGGCCGCCCTGTTGTGTAGCCTGGGTCAGTCTAATTACCACAAGCTACCACAAAGCTTCCTGGCAATACGTTAGTAATGAATAAATATGATATGTTAGGTTAGGCTGACCTAACCTAGCCTAACCGACGCTTGGATCGTCGACTTGATTTGGCGTCACCAGCTCTTTATTTTCGTCAAATTTCTTTATAAAAAGATACTTTTTCAGATTAAAATTATGTTTTTTCGTGTTGTACATTCAGCACCAACATTATAATGAGTAAATATATCATATGTATTCATTACTAACGTATTGTCAGGAAGCTTTGTGAAGCTTGTGTAGCTTGTGGTAATTAGACGGATAGTGTAGCCTCGTGGGGAGCCGGGGGGCCGAGCGGACAGCGCACTGGACTTGTGATCCTGTGGTCCGGGGTTCGATCCCGGGCGCCGGCGAGAAACAATGGGCAGAGTTTCTTTCACCCTATGCCGCTGTTACCTAGCAGTAAAATAGGTACCTGGGTGTTAGTCAGCTGTCACGGGCTGCTTCCTGGGGGTGGAGGCCTGGTCGAGGACCGGGCCGCGGGGACACCAAAGCCCCGAAATCATCTCAAGATAACCTCAAGATAACCTCGTGTGAGGGACGCTGCCGTTGTCCATTTTGTCCCCCGTCTCACATTGTGATCCATATGTCCTCCTTATTTTATCTAGTGCTGTGGATTTAGCCCGTCTAAATAACGTGGACTGGCCCCAGTCTGGCAGAAAGTAACTGGCACTGCAATATTGATTTGCAATTATCCAAGTGTGTCTGGAACTACGCTCGTGGAACAGACATTGTGTCTTCCCAATACAATGTGTCACGTGGTTTTCAAAGTGCTGAGGGTTTTGGGCAAGATCCACCACCGCCGCGCCTAAATTGCTTAAACAGTTCACAACTCTGTTTGCAATAGAGAACTTTCTTCACATTCATGTTCTTGTCAAGTCTCTCTCTCACCCCCGTCCCCTCCTTATCGACCCCTACCCCACCTTGTCCCCCATTTTATCGACTCTCCTACTCTTTTCCCCCCTTCCTCAGCTCCACCCCTGAATCCCCCTCCCCAACCCCCATATCCCGCTCTTTCACTCGCGCTGTCTATCTTGCTCTCTCTCACTGTCTGTATTCACCTAGTTGTGCTTGCGGGGGTTGAGCTTTGCTTTTTTAGGCCCGGCTCTCAACTGTCAATCAATCAACTGTTACTAACTGCTAACTAACTCAAAAATCTCCCCCTGCCCCCAGGAAGAGCTGTCTAACTCCCAGGTACCTATTTACTGCTAGGTAACAGGGGCATTGGGGTGAAAAAAAAACCCTGCCCGTTTGGCTCTGCCTAGTCCGGGAATCGAATCCGGGCCACAGGATTACAAGCCTCGCGCGCTGTCCACTCGGCTACCAAACCCCTCAGCTACCAGACCCCATACACCTGACATACTGTCTGTCTCGGTATGTTTCTCTGTCTTGCTCTCTGTCGCTCTGTCTCGCTATGTTTCTCTGTCTCGCTGTTTCTCTCTCGCTCTGTCTCGCGCTCTCTCGCTCTGTCTCGCGCTCTCTCGCTCTGTCTTTCTCTGTCTCTCGCACGCTCTTGTTTGTTATCTCATGGATGTATCACCAGCTGTCTGGCCTTTAAGACAATGTTTTGCGTCTCGCTGCTTGATCACTATCTACGCACCTGTTGAAATTTGACTTCAGCTTTTGCTTTGAGTGTGGAGTTCCTACCCTGCCCCCTCCCCCTCTTACCTTTCTGTCTTATCTCCCACTTTATTCTCTCCCCTCCCTTCCTCCCTCAAATGTCGTTATCTTTGGTTACATTGCACAGCTGATGTGTGCGCGCGCTTGTCTTATTTTTTTTCTGCAAACTGACGCACTAGTTATCTTGGTGGCGTGTTTGGAGGTGGTCACTATGTGCAATTATGTGTAGTCTTGGTCTATCATCATGGGTACACTACACATCACGCGCCGGGGTCTTTATATACTAGTATATACTATACACATACGCACCTGTATGCTGTAGATCTGTCAAGCACCTCATGACAAGTTTTCCCCCATAAAACCCTGAATGTCATACCTAGTTGAAGCCATTGTACTCAAAATTAATTTGTTTTCTGTTTGTTTGTAGGTGAACATGGGGACCCGTTGGAGATGGGCCGGATGCTGCAACTCATCTTGGGCTGCGCTGTCAACTGTGAGAATAAGCAACGTGAGTGTTCCTTTATCTGTCATGTTGACTCGCTAGCCTCGCCACCCGCCATGTATTTCTACCAACCCGTTCTCGCAAATTTAATAAGTCAATATTGACTTATTAGTTGCGTGCATAGGTGACATACTAAACATAATAGTTTCCCTTGAAAAGCTTCATAGAAAACACCGACCTTACCTAACCTACTTAGTATGTTAAAATAAGCATCTTATAGCTTCGTAATTACAATTGTTACTTAACCTATTATAGGTATAGGTTAGGTAATAATTGTAATTACGAAGCAATAAGATGCTTATCTTAACATACTAAGTAGGTTAGGTAAGGTCGGTGTTTTCTATGAAGCTTTTCAAGGGAAACTATTATGTTAAGTATGTCACTTATGCACATATTTAATAAGTCAATATTGACTTACTAAATTTGCGAGAACGGGTTGATTTCTACACATACACACACCTGTACGTCACAGTACTCGTCTGTATCTCTACACATACACACCTGTATGGCACAGTACTCACCTGTATCTCTACACATACACACACCTGTACGTCACAGTACTCGTCTGTATCTCTACACATACACACCTGTATGGCACAGTACTCGCATGTATCTCTACACATACCTGTACGTCACAGTACTCGCATGTATCTCTACACATACACACCTGTACGTCACAGTACTCGCATGTATCTCTACACATACACACCTGTACGTCACAGTACTCGCATGTATCTCTACACATACCTGTACGTCACAGTACTCGCATGTATCTCTACACATACACACCTGTATGTCACAGTACTCGCATGTATCTCTACACATACACATCTGTACATCGCAATACTCACCTGTATCTCTAATCACAATAAACCTATATATGTATCAATATGTACCTACATATAACTGCACACATGTATTTGTAGTAGTCCACATACACACATGAACCCCTACAGAAGCCTGGGGGGCTTGTGGCTCTCCCTCTTCCAAATTGGCTGAGGGAATGGTCTGGGGTTTGGGATGAACATAGGCTGGTCAGGGGGCGCCAGAACTCGAAGGGTAACACCAGGCCATTGTTACGTTCAGACCCCTATGGCAGCTGTTACGTTCAGACCCCTGTGGCAGCTGTTACATTCAGACCCCTATAGCAGCTGTTACATTCAGACCCCTGTGGCAGCTGTTACATTCAGACCCCTGTGGCAGCTGTTACATTCAGACCCCTATAGCAGCTGTTATGTTCAGACCCTTATGGCAGCTTTTGGCACTGCCCACCAACTACACAACTAAATATTTTGAAACTTTCTTTTTAAACCCATTTTTTCATATAGAAATATGCACTATTATTACACTGGGATACGCACTGATCTTGGGGAATATTAACAAGTTTCCTGTTGTCAATAATTTGCTCGTACTCGCATTGGACAGGCGATCTTTCCACAGATTACGGGCTATTCATGCCCGTGCCACCTCTTGGGTGGCTTAATCTTTATCATCAATCCTTCCACAGCATCCCAAGGTTTTTAAGCCTCACACAGCTCTTTGTCAGAGTAAGGGGGGATAACCTTTTCTATATAAATAAAAATAATTCACAGAAACTAAGCTGCTTTCACTGGTGACCACTCACACATTAGACAGTTATATTATTTATGAGAGGGAGAGGGAGTTGGATAAACGGATAAATATATGGATAGAAAGATGAGTAGATGGATGAATGGATGGATAGATTGATGGTTGAATAGGACGCTGGATAGATGAATGCACAGATAGATGGATGTATAGACAGTTGGATTGATAGAAGGATAGGTAGATTCATTGATAGACATTTGGATAGAGAATATAGATAAATGGACATAGATGGATAGATGAATTCTGGATGGAGTTGTGGGAGTTCTTCTACTCCCCGAGCCCAGCCTGAGGCCATGCTCAACATGTGGTAACTTGGTCCAGCAGGCTGTTGCTTGGAGTGGCCCACTGGCCACATATCCACCACAGCCTGGTTGGTCCGGCACTTCTTGAAGGAACTTGTCTAAATGTTTCTTGAAGATATCCACCTTTGTTCTGGCAATATTTCCAATGCTTGCAGCGAGGGGTATTGCCACGGACCTCTGATGTTCATTGTTCTCTGATTGTATAGGATTGTGCCTATGTGTGGCTATTGTATAAGTGTATATGATTGTGCCTATACACAATTATTTGTAACACTTTTGTATAAAATATGATCACACGTCACCAGTACTGGTTAGAGCTTCAGGTTTTACTTACTATGTAAGGTGACCCATTAAAAATGTCATTAAAACATTTCCGACTAAACATTATATTTTACCTGCGAGGTTGTGCAAGATAGGAGCACTCTTGAAAATACAATTACAGTGAATGTGTTCAGTATTTTTGTGTAGAGTGAGAGGACTTACTTTCTCTAAAGTTTGTTGTAGATTAACAACAGTTTTCATTCATCTTTCAGAATATATTGAAGCCATCATGAACATGGAGGAGAGGGTGCAGAAGGTAATAATGGAAGCTATCCAAGAGCTAATGCTCCGAGAAAGCTCCCCAGGAATATTGGTGGGAGATGGTGAGGGTCGACCAGACCTGGGACCTGCCTCTTTCCACCCTCACATAAAGACCATCTTGGAGCAACTGGAAACAGCCACTCAGACCAGGGATGAGACCGTACAACGTTGTCATGAGTTAGAGCAGCAGGTTCGTGAGTCTTGACCATGGTCATCATAATGTTGTAGCAGTTATGATGATTATAAAAATGATCATCATAACTTCTTATGATCTTAATGGTTAACTGCATTATTTATGGTTAACTGCATTTTCATCAAAGAAATTTATTAATGCAATAAAGCAATTAACAATTCTTTGCATTATTGCATAGATCCAATTGTGTATTGTAGCTCGTTAAGAATTGGATAATACAACAATAGTGGGGGGGAAAATTCTTGCAGGAGGAATGTAGAGAGGGAGGAAAATAGAATTAATTTTATTTTTATTTATTTGTGAACTTTAAATTAACTGGTAAAGAAGTGAACTTTATACAGTACTATATTGCCAAATCTCCTCGCAAATATATCCCACAAACTTCGGAGCTTTAAAGTATTAGTAGATTAGGCTAGAGCAAGTAATTTATTTAATCTGAGATTTATTATTAATGTTTATTAATTGCAATTGATTTAATTATCTTGCTCTATCCTGAGATTAGTGAAATAAATGACAGCTTAGCTGTTCTGATAATCAGTCGCCTCCATAAAGAGGACATTAACGTGATACAAACACGTGAGTTATGGCAGCTCTGATCACTAAACACATGTCTTCTCATCCACGGTACACAAGGCCTGCCAACGAAGTAAAATATAACTTTTGAAATAAATTACTGTATATGGGATAAATTAAATCACATAATCTGTGTGATTTGTTTAAGGGGAAATCTTAGCCTTTTGTGTTGGATCTCCTACCTCATAACCTTTAGACAGCAACTATGGAGAAATGGTCATATCTGCCTATGCACAAAAAAATAAAAAAAATTCAACAAATAATTTTTCATTATAGAATTATAAATTTGTATGCAGAAGGTAAAAAAAAAACACAAAATATTTTATTGTTTCACTAGATGGAGGCATTCTGCAAGACTGCGTCTGGCTCTTGTCAATGCCTGGTGCTCAACTATGCTGACACTCGATGCTTTATCCTCCGAAATTTCACCAATTGTTTTATCACTTTTTTCTTTTTATTTATATCCATAGAGAGCTTATATATCCACATTTGCATCATACAGTTCATGTAAAACTCCAGACAATAATTGTTTAAAATATCATATTATGATAATCACATTCCCCCCCTTCCCATAATAACATTCATGACGATAACAGCATTTGTACCATGAAATGATAGCAGGATTTTTTTCATGAGTCAAGGTAAACTCAATTACATCCACATAGACCCATTATATCCATATTGGCATCATGCATGTCAAACCCCAGATAATTTAAATCTTCATATGATAACCACATTATCTTGTGAATCAACAATTGATGATAACCGCTGTCTAAGAGCTAACCAGGACTAGAATTGTGCATAGTCCAACTACCGGTACTTATTACAGTACTCTACTAAGAACCGGAAAAAAGGTACTTTCCGAGAGTTGATGAGGTCAACATGCACAGTAAGACACGAAGATGTACCCTAATTTTGGGAGAACTGATGATGACTGGAGCTGCGTTTTGTTAAGTCTCTTGGCAAGATTGCCAACTTTTCCCCTCCCTAAGTGCGTTCATAGGCAATTATTTGGTTAGGTTCCGGGAAGGAGTGGATATTAGTTCAGATCCTTGTTGGATTTTATTAATTATAATTTTAGATTAATGTTTGTTCACTAAATAGCACCTACGGTTTGTGCAGTAATTATTTAGTGAGAAAAGGGAATTTTATTATTCCATTCACCTGGACTGTATGGGTCTCGAACCGTGAACCCCACGCTTGTGAGGCCGTAACACTATCAACGAGGCTATGAACCGTCTTAAAAAGGAAAGTTTTCAGAAGCAGCATCCTGCTGCATACTGAAATTTTAAACTTTCCCTGACTACTACTGAAGCCCAGAGGAATTACTGATCCACGTCCATGTCATATAAATTGCCATCCAATTTATCATGCTTTATCAAAACATGCTGCTTCTGAAAACTTTCCTTTTTAAGACAGCTCATAGCCTAGTTGGTAGTGCTATAGCCTCACACGTGTGGGGTCCTCGGTTCAAGACCCCATACAGTCCAGGTGAATGGGATGTTTATTTCCACGGAAGCGTGGAATTTTATTAATTCACCTGTTAACTCTCCTGCATACATAGTGTGTTACGTCACAGAATTTCTCTACTAAGATATCAAAAGAATTGCATTCAATTCTTTGGTTTAATGTTGTTTTTTAATTAATGATTAAATATAATGGCAATAATACATCAACTGAAGAATCATCTTCATAGTGTGTATACAATTTAAATCATATATATGATATTAAGTATGAATAGGCGGGGAAATTTCCAACAAATAGCTCTAATAACTACTGTAAGCACATGTTCAAAGAACTAGCCAGAAATGAGGAGGAAAGCTAAATCATGTTCTTTTTATCATGTAAATACTGTACTATATGTAGTACTGATACAGTGTTATATGTGCAGGGGGTTGTATAGTTATGGACAACATTGCATCTGTATTTATTATCTTATTTAAATTGGTTTTTGTTTATCAAACCATCTACATGTACTGTACGATGTGTTTATCAACAGACACTACTCTTTTTTAATAAAAATACCACATTGCTTCAGCATGATATGTTTGTATGCCATAATTAGCATATGAACTAAGCCAAGTACTGTACGGTAAGTGATAAATGTATTACTGTACTACCAAACCTAGAAAGAGTCATCGTCCTCAAAAGCTTTATAATAAGGTATACTGTATTCACACTGGGAGTAATATTGTAAAAAGTTTAGTAGTGATTGTTGGATACATGGACTGTATACTAAAGTGAGGCTTTAATGCAGTACTATCATGCTGCTAGACTCTGTGAATAATGCTTTGAATACATTTTTAGTTGTACAGATGGAGCCTGTTTAATGATAATGGATCATTAAAAATGTCAATTGAAGATAATCCCGCTCATCCTCCTGTTTTGGTAGTACTTATAGTGATTATGAGGACCATTGTACATATACAGTACTGACATTCAGCACAATTAGAAAGTAGAAATCGGACATATTGAATATGGACAGACTGGAAAAGATTTTCTATTTTTGTAGCAAAGACAACCTTAACTAACCTAACCTAACCTTCCTAGGCCGAATGCACTATCTGAGGACTAATATAGTACATGTGTGTGCTAGGCCTAAGCTATACTAGGCCTAGGAATATTTGTATTTTAGCTTCATGTTTTTGGACTCTATAAAGTGAATAGTACAAAATTCAAATATTTAATTCCTTAGTACATCAATGTTTGCACTATGGTGCACATAGTTACAAAAAGTACTATCAATACAGGAGGATAAATTGATTTAATCACTAGGAGAAAGAATCCTTTGAAGAAATTACTGGATGAATTATCCGGTTGTAGCAAATATACGGTTTTGCTTGTTGAAACATATTACAGCTTCTTTTTTTTTCTTTGTCAAAACCAGTTTTATAAGGAAGATAAGAACCTGTTCTATAACCATATACTTTGGCAGTTGGAGAATGCTTTATGTACAGATCTATATATAGATATATATTCTCAAGTTCCTGAGATGAATGTCTAAAAGTATTCCTTTCCTTTAGCTATCAATGTTGAGTGAAGAGAAGACAGCTTTAGCAACAGAAAATGAAAAGCTTTTAAACCGCTTAGATGCTTGGGAGACTGGTGGGGAGCTTGGTACTTCAACGCTCCGTTACAAGGACCTCAAGAAACAGATTGATGGTCTCCAAGATGAACTTTACAAGCTGGAGACATGTAAGTACTATATTGTAAAGTGATGTGATCTAACATTTTCATGTATACATAGATGATATATGGTTAGTTTGATCTAGCCACACCTTAGCATCATCAGTTGTCTTCCTCGATTGAAATTTAAAGTGAGCACGTCTAAAATTTCTAGAAGATAGAATTTTCCGTACATAATAATGATGATAATATACATTAGGACGATCACAATGGTGTAATGTATCATTATGTGAAAACCATCAGTGCACTCTGTGGATTTGGACCTGTGTCTGGGTCACCCCAGCTACGTGTCTAGGGTGATCCAGAATGCAGGTTCAAATTCCCAGATTGCTCTAATGATTTTTAAGTATTAAATATATTATATACAAAGGATCATATTAAAGTGGTTACTAAGTAGGTGCAATTTGTTCATTTAATAAAGCCACTCATTTTGCACAACATTTTGGGCATGTGTTCAAAGCTGTCACTTGTGTAGTATGTATGACCAAAATGATTTTGATGCTAATATCATCCAAAATACACACAATTTTCAAGCTCCTTTGGCAGCATATGGGCAACCAAAACAGCAATTCTAACATCTAGTAGATGAATGGCTATTAACTCAGTAGTACAACTTTGAATAAATTTCATATGGATCTGTATTTCTTTATGTATATAATCTAATAAAAACCCAGTGTTGAATGTAATGAAATGCCACTTTGTGGATGATCCCCGGTGGCTCCCTGAAGTTCTCACTGAGATTGCTGCATGCAAATGGGTCAAATCAGATGAGCGAGATCTGTTTAGCCTATCGAGAACCAGAACGAAAACCTGGGCTTTACCCTCAGAGTTGCAGACAGTGAGTGACATTTCATCACCACACTGGGAAAGCATCCAGAAAGTCACAGAAGCTTTACAGACAACTGGAGGGATAACAAGGACCTAAGCCTCAAAATTGCCAACAACTTTGCAAACAATTCACACAGAACAAGACATTAAAAATTGGCTTGAAACTTGTAGTAGTGAATGCCACCACCTGGCAGCCTGGCTTCTGCATGCAGCCATCTTCCTTACTTAATTCTGGGGTTTATGAACAGCTGATTGATGAAACGACTAACCTGGTAGGGAGGGAGTTGGGGAGCCACTGGGGCTCGTCTTATGACTCATATGTTCACTTTAGTAAGCTTATGCCCAATGTGTTCAACACTACCACCTGCTCTGTTGAATCTTAGTTGAAATCTTATTGAGTTTGTAACTCTGCACTGTGTTTAATAATGTTCCAGTGGTCTGTCGGGCATTTCTCCACAATGCTGACATTTCCTCCCATCACCTGGAACCTGTAAGCATATTTTCCCTGAACATTGGTATCCATGCCTGAAGCAATGCTAGATATGATGACACTGCAGATGACTTGAGAAATGTAAGCCTTAGAACAGGTGAACAAGGAAACAGGGTCGTCCAACAAAGACACCTATCGAGGCAGAACTAGTGACACCAAAGGACCCCTATGAAAGCTAGCCTATTCATTCCGCATACACAGAGATCACACCAACGTGATGCATCAAATGAACAAACCCCTCTGAAAGCTAGCCTATTCATTCTTCACCAGGAAAGGAGAAGGCTGAACATGAACAAGCTAAACACTAAGCCTGAAGGATCAAAACCCACACCTCTTTAGAAGAGCCTTCAGCTCCCAACCCTACAGTCGGAGGCAAGAGCCAATAAAAACACAGGTTTGAGAAAGAACCAAAGGGGAACCATAAAATGAGCATCAGCAACCCATCCTCCCCTCTAGATAGTTCTTTTTTGTAACTATGTACACCAAAGTACAAATAGTGACAATCTAAGCAATTGGATAGTAGAATTTGGTACTTTATAAACTATAGACTACGACAAAATTAAGCTAAAAACAAATATTCCTAGGCCTAGTATAGCACACATGTTCTATATTAGACCTCAGATAGTGAATATTAGGCCTAAGTAATTGTCTTTGTAACATAAATAGAAAATCTTTTTCGATTTGTCCGAATTCAATAGTGCTGATTTCTACTTTCTAATTGCATTGTACATAGCTATATGTACTATGGTCTGCATTGTTATTAAAAGTACTGTACTACCAAAACAGGAGGATGGGCTGGCATAAGCTAGGCATAGGTGAAATAGCACACAAGGTCACTTGCAGAATAGAACACCATTACAGGTGGAGGCACTTATTTTTGGGACACAATTATGGGTAGTAATTGTCCAAAAAATAACCAACAATGGCTATGGATTGAAAGAGTTGAGAGTTACTAATAATGTACCGATACTTTTTTAAATATGACTGCATAATTACACACCGTATATGTAATGGTAAATTATAAAAAAAAATTACTATGTGATAGTTGAGAGAAGTGTGCTCAAGTCTGTGTGTGATATGAGAGCAGTGAGAGGAATATCTGGAGCCTTGTCTTATCACACGTAGCTGCTAGGTATGATAAGATAAAGTGGTGAATTGATCATACTGTACTTCAAAAATATCTGAAAGGTAAAATAATAACGGCTAATAAATTGAGTGAAAGGGAACTGGCAGTCAAGTGCTAAAGATCAGTTGCAGGTGATCTTGGAGACAAGCTTTGACTAAATGAACCTTTGTTTTTACCGTGGGATATACGCAAGAAATGCTGGGTCAAGAATGCAGTGTGTACAGTTGCACAAATTGGGCGATGGAGAAGATGATCTGCTTGGCGAGATGTAGAGATTGCAAGAGCCGTTGATAAAAGAGAAAAAAAAGGATTTTATGGATAGAAAGTGAAAGAGGGGGGAGCAAAAGAATGGTGGTAGGATGACATTAAAAGGTAATTGAATTTAATAAAGCAGAATGCCATGGCTTAGCAGAAAAAGCAAATAAAACAAAAATTAGGTAAAGAAGTGAAGCAGGGTAAGGATACTTGATCAACCAGGCTGTGACTCATACGTCAGGCTGTGAGCAGCCGCGTCCAACAGCCTGGTTGATCAGTCCGGCAACCAGGAGGCCTGGTCGACGACCGTGCCGCGGGGACGCTAAGCCCCGGAAGCACCTCAAGGTAACCTCAAGGGTGACTGGTAGACTGATAAATTGGGAAGTTAAAGATAGAAATGTGTGAATACTGTATACAATAGTAAAGACGAGATTAGAAATGGGTGGAGCGTGCTCTTCAAAAGTCTAATGCATAGATGTAATGAAAGAGGTGATATTATGAGTATTTTTGGATTAGTTGGTGTGAAACAAGAACAAGAACTTGTGCATTAGTGAAGGAGCTGAAGTGTGGGAAAGCTGTAGGTGTTGACGGGGTGTATGCAGGAGTGTATGCAGGAATGATTAATGGGTAGGAAGAAAGGAATGGAATGAGTGTGGAGAATTTGGCACGAGTTGTTTAGCACTTTCGCTTACCGGGCGCGCAACCTCCCCACTACCCCAGGTGGGCTTGGGCGTTTCACGGGAGCACGAGGGAGAGTGAGCTAAATTCTGAAAAGTGTATACTTTTTTCAACTTTGTCATCTCAATTCTCATCCTAGGTTTTTCAATTTGGTATCAATGTGTTCGCAATAGAAGTCTCTACAGGACTAAATGAATATAAATCCCAAAAGCCCGGCGAGAAAGTGAGAGTTTCTTACCCGGGAGCGGGCAAGAGCTCTCTCTTCACTTCACTCTCTTCACTTTGGACATCTCAATTCTTGTCCTAGGTCTTTCATTTTGGTATCATTGTGTTCGCAATAGAATTCCCTACAGGCGTATATGCAAATATAAAGTCCAAATGCCTGGCATTACCCACAACAAACAGAGAAAGTGACAGAGCGTTACCCCCGTGAGTGCTAATAAAGAGCAATAAAATGGGTATTCTGTTTTCAACTTTGTTACCTCAATTCTGGTCCTAGGTCTTTCATTTTGTTATCAATGTATTCGCAATGAAATTCCCTACAGGTGTATATGCATATGCATAATATCCAAAACCGGAACAAAATCTTCCCAAAAACGCTGCTACTGTTGCCGTATGGAGGACTCGATGCCGAGTCCTCGCCGGACTTGCCCCCTGTTTTACGGAGGACTCGGTGCTGAGTCCTCGCCGAGCGAAAGTGTTAGTTGTAGTATGCCAGATGATTGAAAAAGAATAGTGACTGTACCACCATATGAATTTAAAGGGAAGCATAACAAGCATAAGAATTATAGTGGCATTAGTTTTCAAAATATAGTTGGCAAGTTGTATGGCAAGATAGTGATTTCAAGGGTACAGGAAATTACTGAGATATGGTACAGTGAGGAACAGAGTGGATTCTGTGGTGGAAGAAGGTATGCCAATCAGATATTTGATCTAAGACATGTGATAGAGAGGGCATGTGAGAAAGATTGTAATGTATGCATAGCCTTAATGGACTTGGAAAAAAAAAAATGATAACCCTAACAGGAGGAGGACTTTAGAGAATGGTGCGCATGTATGGAGTTGGCATACTGCTGGTAATTGGCACAACAATTTATTTACAAGTAACTGTTCATGTGTATGTTATTGGTGCAATGAAATATTGATTCGATTTTCAATGTAGGTTCGTCAGATTTGTGATGTCACTGTGGGTATTTAATATATATATTGATGGGGTGGAGCACCGACCGCCTCCCGGGTAAGTGCCCTTGGTTTTTCTTGGTAGTCTTTGGTGAGGTAGCTCCGGGGAGCCGCAGGGGTTCCCCCCAGAAAACCAGCGTTGAATGTAATGAAACGCCATTTTCTGGGCGAGTCCTGGAGGCTCCCCGGCATCCCTCCCGCCCTCCGGTCGGCGGTTTTTCGCGGTTTTTGATGTCCAGCCTCAGAACTGGGGTGTGGATCGCCGGCTCGGGGGTCTGGGGCTCCCCCTTCCCCCTCCCGGGGAGGGGGGAGCTGCGCAGACATGCGGCGCGGCTCGTGTGACGTCATGCTAGTTTGCTTGTTTTTCTTTTGGGGGAGTTCTGTCCACTCGTTTGTCAATTTTGTTGTTAACCAGAATAGGGGTTTGTTTTGGGGCGCTTACCTTTCTGGGTGCCTGTCCCGGTCGATGGCAGATATGGAATGCTCCAAATCACATGTGCATTCTATGGGCCATTGCTCCCCGTGCCTCTCTGAGGGGGCCAGGTTCTGGCTCGTGGTCCCCGGTAGGCCTAGAACTCCACCCACATCGACTGATGCAAAATAGTTAGGATATCCATATCAGCCATGGATAGCTCCGGGGAGCCTCCGGGACTCGCCCAGAAAATGGCGTTTCATTACATTCAACGCTGGTTTTTTGTGTATATGGCAGCTTACAAAAAGCACTGCACACACACACACACACACATTCATAAAATGATTGAATACTGCTGTAAATGTTTTATTGGAATTTGGTGATCCTGATTTTCTATGTTGTGTGTAGGATAATGGTAATAGGTGCCATTTTTAATATCCTGAAGTTTGTTTTCTTATACTGCTCAATATTTTTTTCCTGATTGAATCCTTCCCCCCTATAAAATATGAAATTATATATATTGATAATAATAATTTATCTTTTTCCCTCAAGCTCGTGATGAATACCGCACAAAGGCAGACTTGCTTGAGCGAGAGAATACAGAAATTCAGGCACGTAATGAGGAGCTGCAGAAACTTGCAGATCAAGCACGCTCGCTCAAAGATGAGGTAAGATCTCTTGTATAATGATGTTTAGCACAGTACAGAATGGAATGTAAACCTTAAAATTAGGGAGTAGAAATGAAATTGTAATTAGTTCTCTCATAAAGTAAGCCAAATTGCATAAGTTTGAGCCATCACTTTCGATTGCATGATAAGAAAAGCGAGATCTGTTGTTATAAAATGAAGTTTGTGCACAGTCAGGCAGGATCATTTAATTGGGACCAACACCACAGGGAGTCACTTGAAATAAACTCAATCTAGCCCAGATGATTGATAGAGGTTCAATTCTAGTATCTTAAAAATCTTTTAAGCCCTCCCTTGGCATTACAAAAAAATGTAAACATAGGGCTAATGCAAACTGGTAAATTGCCTGCCATTATTCTGTGCTAACTGCTTCAGGGTGGCAGCATCCTGCACTCTATGATTTCCAGGTGAGATCTTCATGTTTTTCTTAACTTGTGTAAGTCAGCAGGCAGGGACTGATTTTCACTTAAGTTCAACATATTTTCATCCAATGAAACTTAATTAAGTTGCATATGCTCATGTATGTGCAGTAATGCATTTTGTGAGCCTGTTTACTGGCCTTTGCACATTCCTGAGTCTTTTGGGCCTGTTTATTCAGTTTATGGTAGGTTTAGCATAGTACTCTAGTGGCTTTGTTGCTGTTAACTATATCTTCATATGTGATCCCTTAAAACATGTTTTGGATGTATGGGTGTTCCTGTACACAGGGTATGTTCAGTCATTACCTCATTGTGTGTATGAAGGCAAATCATTGTGTAAATACCTAAGTGTAGTTAAAGGATGAGAGCTACGCTTGTGATGTCCCATTTTTCCAGTACTCTTTGTCAATAACACTTTGAAAATCTTGGAAAGTTCATAAAACTCAGTTATATAAAGATTTCTTCCTAAGACCCCAGGCATATCTTGCAGTTATCTCAAGATAATTTCAAGGCTTAGCATCCCCTCGGCTCAGGTCTTTGCCTAGGCCGCCTTTTTGTTACACATCCTCAGGAAGCAGCCTGTAGCATCTGTCTAATTCCCAGGTACCTATTTACTGCTAGGTAAACAGGTGCATCAGGGTGAAAGAAACTGCCCATTTGTTTCTGCCTCCACCGGTGATCGAACCCGGAACCTTAGGACTACGAATCCCGAGCGCTGTCGGCCGTCAGGGCCCATTCATTGCTGAATTTCCTGTATGGAAGAAGAAAAAAAAAGACATTTGTGAGAGGTTATTGCCTTTAAATGCCAAAGATACCTGTCTAGAATGTAATAGAGATTTGTTCCCAAACTTGAAAGTTGATTCATATGCTTGTGACTTTACCAGTAACAACAGCATCAGTAGAAAATACTATTCAGCTGAAACAGATTTTTCTTGTTTTTTCTGGGGGAGCTTCCAGTGGCTTCCTGAAGCTATTTCATTGAGAATGCTCCATGCAAATAGGTCACATCAGACATGGATGTTTTGTTTGGCTTACTGGAGACCAGAGCCACAATCTAGCCCCCCCTCACAGGAGCGCAGAGCGCAAGTCATATTTGACCAACACCGGGATAGCATCCAAAAAAATCAGTGAAGCTTTACAGACAAAGGCTTTATGACAGGTTGTGAAGCTTTATGACAGGTTGGATAACAAGAACTTTTCACACTAGAGATGCTGCACCGATGAGGATACTTTTCAAAACGCTAGTGCTCTCTAGAGTGGAGTACTGCTGCACAATGACAGCCCCTTTCAAAGCTGGAGAAATTGCTGACCTGGAGAGCATGCAGAGATCCTTTACTGCTAGAATCCACTCAGTAAAACATCTAAACTACTGGGACCAACTAAAGAGCCTAAATATATATTCCCTTGAGTGCAGGCGGGAGAGATACATCTGTACGTGGAAAATAATAGAGGGGGCTGGTCCCAAACCTGCACACAGAAATAACATCACATGAGACCGGAAGGCATGGCAGTATGTGCAGAATACCCCCGTTGAAAAGCAGAGGTGCAACAGGTACTCTGAGAGAAAACTCTTTCAACATCAGAGGCCTGAGACTGTTCAACACGCTTCCACTACACATAAGGGGCATAACTGGCCAACCCCTCACAGTGTTCAAGAGAGAACTTGACAAACACCTCCAAAGGATACCTGATCAACCAGGCTGTGACTCATACGTGAGGCTGCGAGCAGCCGCGTCCAACAGCCTGGTTGTTCAATCCAGCAACCAGGAGGCCTGGTCGATGACCGGGCCGCGGGGAAGCTAAGCCTCGGAAGCACCTCAAGGTAACCTCAAGGTGAGGGTACAGTTGTGAGGCTAGAAGACTGCAAACCACCTCTTCAATTGGTATCTATATCATCAACCAATAACAATTTACCCTCCAAGTGTGATTGAACTAAATTTGGTTTAATTTTTCTTATTTGTATGGCAACCTGTTATTCATGCAGATAAAGGCATGTTATTTTCTCTGGGAATATTGATGCATCATAATTTGTTTACTTTTCAATATTGTTAGGTTGATGCACTACGGGAGATGAGCGAGCGTGCAGTAGTGTATGAGGGAACGATGGAAACTTACAAGAAGAAACTGGAAGAGTTAAGCGACCTTAAGCGACAAGTACGCATTCTGGAGGAGAAAAACTCGGATTATGTGCAGCACAATATGGAATTGGAAGAGGTAGGTATTATGAGAGTATTTTGCAGCTGTTGAAAAGACTGCCTGCCACATTGATGGCAGTTAATTGCAATCAATGAATTTTAGGTCATTTTGCAGATGTAAAATATATGACCTTGTGGCCATATAAGCATTCTAAATTGTTTTTTCTAAATTGTCTAAATAAAGTTCATAGTAAATTAACAAAAAGCCCATATATTAATTGCACTTGACAATGTAGTATTATATGTAATGTGTTGTGATAACAAAAATAATTTTATTTACAATACACAACAATTTGACAGGAAGTGAAAAAGAGCGGAACTTGGCGCCCCCAGTTAGACTTGTACAAGAAACAGGTTGCCGAGCTGCACCAGAAACTAGCAGAGGAGGCCAAGAAGACTGATCGTCAAATCTTTGAGAATAAAAAGCTGAATGAGAAAATGGAGGCCATTACTCAAGAGAAAGATGTAAGTTACAGTTTTGTATAAAACATTTGTCCAAAAGGCCTTTCTTTTTGCCTGTTGCTTGATGAATCAGGTTAAGAGCAGCACAGGTTGGGGTGACTATACAGACAACCTCTCCCTTGGTTAAGTGAATTTCAATACTGTATATCTAATGAGCTTCCTCTCCCTGATAATGGTGGCCATATACCATATTGTTGTAGGAAGTAATATTCTGGAAGAGCTTCCTTAGTAGTTACTTGAGCTTATCCTGTGGTGAAGTCAAGGATTGGAAATGGCATCATGCCTCTGAGACTCATCCTGACCTACCAGGAGTCAGGACCAGTCTGGCTCTCTTTGTGAGGTGAGGTGAGCTGGGGATTAAAGGTCTACCAAAGCAAATAAAAAGCTGAAAGCAAACATTTACTTGAAGTAAATAAGGCAAATAATCATTAACATGGGTTAACGCTACCTACTTTGATGCGCCCAATTGCCACCAGATGGCAGCCCATGTCATCTGAGATTCCAGCCAGCAACCCACCTCACTTGGTATTTGCCAGGAACCTTGGATGACCTGGATCATCAGCTGGTGGCAGTTTGGTGCATAAAGGTTAGAGTTAGTAGCCTACAGTAATGATCATTTGCCTTGTTAACCTCATGGCTCATATTGAAGTACAGGTAAAGACTACTTATTGTGAATATTTCTTTAATTTACCCCTTAGCATTTGGGCTGTAATTTGCCCAAATACCTCGATAAGAGCCTAACGTGTATGAATACACTCTGGCGTCCTGTGCCCCAACACAATGAATAAATTAATTAATATTTCTTTGATATTTGGTTTAAAAACATAAACATAGTTACCTTGCCTTGTTTGACGGTTACTCAAACCTTAGGAAAATCATAAATGGTAAAACAAAATTGAAAAGCTTTTCTTTTAAAAATTCCTAGGTTTTACAAATATTGCTACATAGTCATATTTTGGTATCACTGGAAAGTATAGACAAAGTTCTGTAATCTGTGCAGGTCAAATTTCTAATTTGTTTACTAATAATTATAATAAGATCGTAAATCTTGTGTTTTTCTACACGACTTGAAAGAAGACTTAGTTTACCAATTTCATTCAAATAATGCTCAGAATGTAGCAAATAATCTTGATAATAATATAGAAAAATAAGAAAATAGCCAAAAACATGATTGTGACCCCTTAAGCTGTAGCGAGCTGCTGAGAGACCCCGCCAGAAAAGGGAATTTAAATCTCTCCATCTCTTCTTGACTTCACTTTCCACTTTTCATCAATGTCATATGAATTGATGAATTATTTCCATTCTTGTCATATGAATCTTTAAATTATATCCTTCACCATCCTTTTCCTTTCCATTTGTTAAATTTGTTTCATCTACTAAATTAAATAATGTTAGATATTTAGAAAATTCATAATTGTCATAACCATTATTATTATTCCACTTTTCACTTTCATGGAATTGGGAGGCATTTGTCTGAAGAAAATAAGAGAAAAATGTAAGGAATGGTTAGGAATGTACAAAATGACACCATCAGTTCCATACTAACCAGTATCATCAAGAATCCGCACCATCACCGAACTGGAAAATCATTCAAAACAATACTCAACTATGTTGACCAGACCACACACTAGAAGTTGAAGGGACGACGACGTTTCGGTTCGTCCTGGACCATTCTCAAGTCGATTGTCTTGAGAATGGTCCAGGACGGACCAAAACGTCGTCGTCCCTTCAACTTCTGTGGTCTGGTCAACATACTTCAGCCACATTATTGTGACTCTTCGCCTGCATATGAATACTCAACTACTTCATAAATACATAAATATACCCATGCTTGTAGAGTACATAATAATACTGTTAAGTACATTTCTCTTCTCAGCGTCTGACCAAGGAACGCGATGCTCTAAAAGAGAACATCGAAGAGCTGAAGTGTCACGTCTCCACTCTGACCTCTCCAGATACTGCTTCTCGGCCTCCTTCAGATCTGTCGGATGTTGAATTGCTGGAAGTAGTTCCACATGAAATCAGGTAGTATTTTAAAGTAATATAGGCTGCACATTTTGCTTTGTTTTCATTCATCATGTGTGGTGGCATCAGCCTGGGAAAAAAATATAATACAGGGTATAGTGAAAGATGGTTATAGCCATAAAAAAAAATAATTTGTACTTTCATCATTCATTCTATATAGTATTACAGATACAAAACATCTCCAAATTTCAGCAGTCATCCACAGCAGCACCCACTGTCATAAAACCAGGTCTCAGTTGTCATGCACAATACAAACAAATGAACTCACTGCTCACACACTTCTTCCATCCCAGTTTTGTTAGTTACTACTTGCCATGTGATGTTTGCACTCAGTCACTGCTTCTCACGTATTAGAGGAGTGCCAGGTAGACTACTGAATTGGATGAAAATTTTACTGACAGACTACAGATAGTAATGATCAGAGGCAATGTATCTAGAGAAATATCACTTGTGTAGTACCTCAAGGTTCAGTTCTTGCCCAGGTAATGTTCATTATCTATATAAATGATCTATTGAAAGGAGTAGAAGGAATACAGAGTTGCATAATATATATTTGCCACTGATGCTAAATTGCTAGGGAGAGTGAAGGACTTGTATGTACTGCCTTGTCCTTCCAAAATGAACTAGACAAGATAAGTGAATGGAGCAACACATGGTAGGTGACATTCAAAGAAATGTTTCATGTAATGGAATGTGGATTAGGGGGAAGAAGTCACACTTAACCTACTGTACAAATTGTGAGAATATATTAAAAACCTCCAGCAAGGAAAGATCTAAGAGTGGTTCTGGATAGTAAACTGTCAGCAGAGGACCACATATAGGATGCATTGATAGAGGAGCCTATGCTATGCTATGCTAGTAAATTTCAACACTACATAAGAACAAAGGTAACTGCAGAAGGCCTATTGGCTCATACGAGGCAGCTCCTATCTATAACCACCAAATCCCACTCATATACTTGTCCAACCCACGCTTGAAACAATCGAGGGACCCCACCTCCACCACGTTATGCGGTAATTGGTTCCACAAATCAACAACCCAACATTAAATGCTGTATTTGGATAGAGCAATATTAAAACTCCATGACATTTGTGAGACCAAAATTAGAATATGCAGCAGTGGTGTGGGTTCTCATATCTTAAGTACATAAATAAACTGGAAAAGGTTCAAAGATTTGGTACTAAATGGCTCCTGGAAGTTAACATGAGCTATGAAGAGACATAAATGTTTGTCTCCAACATGTCAACCATGTTCACCAATAAAAGATGTGGGAAAAATGTGAAAATCTCCTTTAATTGTACTCAAAATGAGTTTCTGAGATGTGCTATCATCAAGGACATGATACAAATTTGAGCAATGTAAAGTAGGGTAGCTTGTGGCACTGAAGTTTGTCACAGTTTGTCACCTTCTACTGCCTCTTCCTTTACCAGTTAGACCTTTTGGCCACATTTTGCCAACCTACACTTTGCATTGTAGTTTTTCTGACGGCTATAAATCATTCTTGTTTGTTGTCTAATTCCTTTTGCACCTAAATATTATTAGTTCGCAGGTTATAGGAACTCATAAGAAACAATTTCACATTCTAGATTTGTTTCCATAATTATTTCATCTGAATCATGTAGAGTTTATATTTTCATCTCTGTGGACAGTAGAGAAGAGCTGGACATGTTTTCTGCTGTTACGTTCACCCATCTGTTCAAAGTTCACAAGTACTGACCACACAGCAAGTGTAGTGGAGTCTGAGGCAGATCAGAGCAAGTATGACTGATATTGTCCTATAATATTTCTCATTTCCCAAAAGAGTCCTTACTTGTTCTCTTGACCTATAATGCTGAAAATATTAAATGTCATGATCATCTGTGGATCCCCTCTCCTCCTGTGTTTGTAGATGCATCATCTTTAGTGTTAACGTTAATACCAGGAATTCAAAACCTGCAGGCGATGAGTCACAATAACGTGACTGAAGTATGTTGACCAGATCACACACTAGAAGGTGAAGGGACGACGACGTTTTAGTCCGTTCTGGACCATTCTCAAGTCTATTGTGACTTGAGAATGGTCCAGGACGGACCGAAACGTCGTCGTCCCTTCACCTTCTAGTGTGTGGTCTGGTCAACAATTCGAAACCTCTTTTGGGATGAGATTAACAAATACAATATGCATTGTCTAAAAAGGCAGAGAGTAAATGATGACATGACTGAAGTAGACAAGTTGATGAAATAGCATAAGGGAGTTATTAATGAGGTGTTAAATAAATCTATACAAATTAGAATGTGAAACAAGTTATACAAATTAAATTTAGATTCACAAATTACCTGGGTAAATACTGTTTTGGATCAGTTGTTGTTGATTTGTGAAACAGATTATAGAGTAAACTAATACACAAGAAATCGCTAGATTGGTTCAAGCGTAGGTTAGAAATACATACAAGTGTTTGGACAAGTATAAATAAGAACTCCCTTACATAGCCCAATAGGTCTTCAGAAATTGATTAACGACATTTTCTTCATTATTCTTGTTAGATATCGGACACCATTTGTTATAAATTGTTTAATATTCCAGAGAAAAGCTGATGCGACTGCAACATGAAAATAGCATGTTGAAACAAAGGGCAGCTGAAGGTGGCAGCCGTGAACAACTACCTGTTCTTCAGACTTTGGTGTCAGACTTACAGGAACGCCAGAATTCCCTGACTCAGGAGAACAGGTGGGATTCCAAGGGAGACTTAGGCTACCCAAAATACAAGTTCAGGGAAGGATGCATTACCCCACCATCTTTCTCTAATTTCTCCTTCCTAGATGCATATTTAAGTGTTGATCCCAATAGGAAGATGAAATTATTCAAGAAAAATTTGAAGTGGGCAAGTGAATCTGATCTATTAATTTTGCGGCAACCTAAAGGACTGCTGTCTACAAATTTTTTATCTGCAACTTTACCTTTGCAGCCTCCTCTGCCTGTCTCTTCCTCTTCCTTTGCAACCCAGACAAGTAAAGAAAACCCTATTGTTATTCACCACATACATGAGTTTAAAATGTCACCATCACCAACAAATGATGACAGTGGGTGTTGCCGCACCTCACCCAGCAGCTGCGAAGGCTGCGAGGATACTGGCTGTACAGAAACTCACTTGCCAGATTATTCTGGGACTCTGGACTCTGGTATATCAGGAATTTACTCTGGCACCTTAGAGTCAGGGATGTCTGGATTGTACCGTTGTTTGAGTCCAGTTATCCCATCTATAGTTGAAGAATGTACAACCCATCACATGACAGACATTCTCCCAGCACTAGCAGGCCATAGAGTGTCATCTCCTTCAGTGATGCACCACACTCACCCAGCACACACTTCCTGTCTCCACTGTTGTTCACCTCATGTTTCTCAAGAATATAATGGTGAAGAAAGTGACAAAGACACAAGAAAAACTAGCTGTGCATCTCCAGTACCCCCTCCACGCCCACATACTGTCTGCTCATTAAACCCTCCATATAAGTATAATCACAGATCAGCGCCAATCTCCACATCTCCACTGCGACAGTTACCCATTTCTCAAGCCTTATCTCCACATTTAAGTTCTTCCCCATCAGCTTTTCCTTTACCTGCTATATGCCTTCCATCTACAATGGTAGATTTATCTTTTGTTTATACTCAATCAAATAAATCTTTATCTAAACCAGCACTTGAGGGAGCAGTGCAGATATCCCCACATGCATCATCTGATTCCCTAACAACAACAACAACACCCACTTATTCATCTCTGAACCCATTGCCAGTGTCTTCCCCACAAGGTCGTAGGACTGCTGCAGGATTTTCTCGGTCTTCTCTTCCACCTGAATCTCCAACTCCCCATAACTCTCCACGTTTACCCAACAGCATTTATGCTACTCGTAACAGATCTTGTAAAAATTTATCATTATTGTCTTTACATAACGAGACTGGTACAAATCTTAGAGAGATTCCAGTTGCAGAAAGTATTCTCATAAATAGAGCAAATAGTCCAGAAAAGGGGAGTAGGTCTTATCAAGAAAGGAATAAATTAAATTTAGATAATGGATATAAGAATATTTTAGAGAAAGGCTCAGTTTCATCTGATTCTCAAGTTCCATCAGCTTCAAAAAATCAAATGATAGCTAATGAAGGTTCTGGGTTAGTACCCAATGCTACTTTGGCTCAGTCACCAGAGAAAGATTCAAGTTGTTTTGTAAGAAACACTACAAATTCTGAAACCACTTGTAACAATATTATGCCTCAAGTTGCTGTAGCAAGACAAACCGAGGCAAAAAGTGAAAAGAGTAATGCTGTTCAGATGTCAAATGCTTTCTCATTCTCTAAGCAGGACAAAAATGACATTAGACAAGTGATATTTCCTAAAACAGGCACGCTCCTTTCAACAAATGCTAACTCGGGGACACATTTTCCCAGTAAAATCAACAAAATTAGCACGGGTGTGTCTCTTCCCAGCAGTATTAACAAAGAAAGTAAACCAGTGGCAGAAACTCCAGAAGGTCTTGGAATACTAAGTTCCTCAGGATTTAAATATCCTTCCACTGTTACAAGCAGTAGTAGTAGTACCACCTTATTCTCCAGCACAAAAGCTGCCTATACTCCGTTAACTACTAATACAGTTAGAGGAAAAGATAATAAACTATATTCTAAAAGTAATCTTGCTTCAAGTAGCACCTTAGCAGTGGTTAACAAAAACCAAGGATCAGTGCCACCTATTAAATCTGGTAACCATGTAAAATTTTCTGAACCTGTGGTAAGCCAAGTAACTCACAGCCATCATGAAACTATTCCAAATCACTACTTGTCAGCTTCTCCAAGAGAAAGAATGCTGGCAGTTGCAGGTAGGTCAACTCGGAAGTCCATCATTTTAAAAGCTACCAATGCTAAACATGAGTCTCCAAAAAGTAAGAAAAATACTCCTGAGGTTACCTTGGTTAGTGATTCCCTCTTTACGCACTTTGAGGTCTCGCCAGAATCTCAGCGTCAGAGGTTGGAAAAAGACTTGGTTCCTTCTGCCACTGACACCGATACTGATCTGGAGACACTAGAGCGAAGGCTGACCTTAGGAATGTATGCTGCTCCTCTTGTAAGCTCAGAATCATGTGCTTCCTTTAGCCATGATGATGCTGATGATGACCCATCAGCGACAGATTATTGCACAGATAATGCCTCGGATATGGATGAATATAATCCAAATCAGTTTAAGATTTACAATGATGATGAAGAACATAGCATAGCAGACATTCAAAATGGTGAAGCTATCAAGATCCATGAAGGAGACAATATTGTACTAATAAACGATGGATCAAACAGTGCAGCATCACTTGCTCGTACATATAGTTTCTTTCGTAGACAGATCAAGGCTAATAAAAAGCAAAGAAAAGTGGCAGCAAAGGAATCATTACCACTAGCTATTAGTGGTGGAGTTGTAAAGCCCAAAAACAAAACAGCCAAGCACATGGTAGCAGAGACATTTAGTGCGATGTTCACCCTTTGTACTCCTTAAAAGATGATGGAAATTTAGACAATTTTTCAGTTGTGGCCAAGGAAGGGAAACTCAGTGATTGTAGTGAATCTGGTGGCCAGTGCATCTAGCTTTTTTTTTATTTTTTTATGTATCTGTCCTGCCTGCATTTATCAAGCGATCCCTAAATGACAAGCATGCTTAAGTAATTTAAGCTCATTGTGGTCATTTTCAGAACAAACTCAATATTCTGGTTATGGTAAGATCTAGATATGTTGCATATAACGTCTTGAAGATTTTATCACATTACTATTACGTAAAATTCAAATTGGAATTTGGATGATTAATGATTTACACAAGGTGTATCTCCTATTTCTATTGAGCAACTAATGTAACTAAATAATGCTTTTTATTTGGTATTTAAATCTCTAGGAATGTATTTATATAATAATTCCTCTATGCCTATCTCTTTCTATTTCAATCCTCTGCTCTTCTAGTCATGGTACTGTCTTAACAGCAGCTCTTTAGGTTGTTGTAGCATCAATATTGTCTTCTAAGTGCTCTCACTTAGGTATATCTATTTGTTAAATATAAAGTATCAAATTAGTAAGCCAGGCTTACTACCGCCCATAAAACTAGTCATATATGGTGTATTTAGAACATTTAGCCTTGTGGTGCTCTTGTGCATATTACTAGGTAAGACTTCTAAAACTTCAGTATTGTGCCAAACATAGAATTAATGTTGCATTTGTTCTCACTTTAGGTAAAAGATTTTAATGTTATTTTAGTAAACAGCTTTTTCCAAGTCAATTTGTAATGTTTGATACTGTATATGTTATAATGATCTTCATTATATATTCAGTAAGTGTTAGGTGAAATTGTTAGTACATATATTTGTTTATTGAAGCGTACAAAGTATTTGAAGAATATTACCTAAGGTGGGCCTGATGCTGCTGAACCACAGGTATTAAAGATAAAGTTTTAGCTTGTGCAATCTATTAATAATAAGCAGCTTGTGTCAGCTTTGACTATTGCGCTTTCTACAATACAACTGCCAAATTGTCATGTGTTAGAGGAGATGCAGCAATATTCCTTTCCTTTTTGTTATTAACAAATCAATATATGGCTGAATCACTAATTGTTATTTGTACTCTTTAGTTGTGAATAATTTTAAGTTGAACTGCTAGATTTACTTAGCATGTAAAATTATTTATGAGTTATTCAGTGAAGTTAATGAATGTGGAGCTTTATTTTAGCATCGCATGTTAAATACAGGCGACCGGTGCTCAAGCAGTATTGCCTTGATTTGATGTCAGTCAGAAACAAGTCTTAAATGGCAAGCTTAGCTTGCATGAGATAAGAACTAAATCCTTCCTTTTAAGGTTTATGCAAAATTATTCCCAGATCTCATAAATTTTTAATTTGATTAGGTTTTGGAAACAGGCAACTTGCTTTTATTAAAACTTTTTAAATAATAAAAAGAAAATATAATTGATTGAAATTATCATCCCAGAGTCAAATTAAAAGTTCTTACAGCCTCTACCTCGGAATCTCACGTTAAAATCTCTTACGCACGCTAAAATGGAATGGCAGCATTCTAGATACATTATTGTTACTAATGAGAAGTTACACAAAGTCTAGAATAGTGACGATTGATCATATCCTCTTGATAGCAAAAATATTGCAGTTGCAAATTTACAGTGAAGTTAAAGAATATAAATGAAATAATAACAAATTAAAAAGCAAAATGCAAAATTAGTAGCAGCACTTCCCATAAATTATTGTATTTTACTGTACTGTAATCATAGATGAGAAAGGATTGGGGTGCATTAAAATAATAATAGTTTTTTCACTCGGATTTAGATTAACGCTCCTTAAAAAGTACTTGTAATGCATTATAACAATTTGTCAGTTTTAGAATTTTACATTTAATTATTGTGATAATACAGTATAAGACATTGAGTTGAGGTAGCACGAATTTTGCTTGGTGCCACTGCATCTTTAAGCATAAGTCATTAACTAGTGTAAGCATGATTCATGTACTATAAGTGGTGCTTTATGTGCTTTTTGGATTACGTTGTTGCATTGCAACATCTCCCAGACATTCTGCAATTCTTGTTGTACTACAAGGATGAAAAAAGTAATGAATTTCATCTACATCATTAGTGAATGCAAAAATCTATTTTATTTAGAACGTTTGTGGCTAGGAATTGAGAGGAGAATTCAGTAATGATATTCA